AAAAAAAAAAAAAAAAAAAAATTAGTTTAGCATTTTTGAATCGTTTTTTTTTTCTTTATTTTTCACGGTCTTACTACCAAAATACAATTAATCTATTTATATTCTATTGTTTTTTTTTTTTGCTTTTAATTCTCTTTGCCTTAAGCTTTTGATTAGGTGAATTCTAAAATTAATTGTTGCATATGTTTTCCTGCTTTTTGTTTTTTCTTGTTGCTGTTGCTACCACTGACTGTTTTCTGAGTTTCTTATTGTTAGTTTTTTTTTTTTTTTTTTAATATACAATATAATTTATCAAGTCTTTTATCGATGTTTTTCAGAATCTCATGACAGAAACATCTGTACTTATCACATATGCAAATATCAACACAAAACAGGTTTATTTTTGGCTAATCGTTCTTTTCTTTCCTGTTTTCTTTTACTTCTTAATTTTATGATTCTTCCAGTTCTTTGCATAATGGTCCATGGTAGACTCCTCTGGTCGAGCTTCCCGGTATTAGCCAGTTTGGCAATACTTACTAAGATACATGTAATTCCTGTTGCCTGTTGTACAAGAAACAATGCTATTCTGTATGTTTAACTGATTTATTGTTTCACCGATATTATTTTAGCTGATTTAGCAAAAGATTATAAGATTGAAAAAGTGAAGGATTAAACAACAAAACACCTCGCTACGGGAGGAGAAGGAGCAACAATGGTGAGTAGCAGAGGGAGATGGGGAAGTGCAAAATTGGTAGACTGATACGGTTTGCTGTTATTTTATAATTGCAGAAAAAAAAAAAGTTAAAAACAAATAAATAAATAAAACTAAAATTTTGCCAATAAACTTTCACTGGGGGGAGAAAAAAACACAAGTTTTTTTTCATCTGTTTTCCTTCATTTAATTTGGTTTTGATTTCGATTCGTTGTTCATCAAAACTGAATTTGTTGATAGGCTAAAACTAATTTGATGCTGTATTGTTTTATTTTGCCATTTTTTTCCCACGGTCTGTAAATCCTTTATTTTATTTTATTTCATTTCAATTTTATTTTTTTCTTCAAAGCTCAAGAAGACTGAAAAAATAGGAAAAAAAAGCGGGGCAATGAAAGGAAAGGGCTGAATTCAATTTATGTACAACAATAAATTAAATGTTGAACTGAGAAGAGGTGGGGAAGGAGGAGGAGGAGACATCGGCCATTGGAGGACCACAGGATCCGATGGCATCGGCAACAAAGGGGAGGAGGAATTGCCGTTACTCATTGGTTTGAGTAAACAGTGTTCATTTGATTGCCTACCACCGCCAGCAGCACCACCATCACCACCACCACCACTACCATTACTTTGGTGTATATTACTACTCATTAGGTTAGCAGTTTGTTCTTGATGCCAACCAAAAGCATCTGTCGTTGTTCTCCTTCAGTCCATCTCCCAGCCTTCTCCCCTGTCTCCATTCTTAATCTTCAGGCATTAGTGGCCATCGTTCTGTCTTTCTTCGTCAATCCCTTAACAGCTCACTCATCTGTAACTTCCTTCCCCAATATTTCCTCCTTTTGCATCATCGGCTGTCGGTGCTGCTGTCA